TATGTATCTTATAGAACATTACTGTAATTTCCTTCTTTTTCCCTTCTTTGAAAAGATAAAAGATGATTATTAAGGTGATCAACTGGATCATGAAGACGTAAACATCTGAAGGAAGCACGGGATACAGTGGACATCTAGGATGCAGTTGGACGATCTAGACTTCGCAGGTGATCTGACTCTTCTATCCGACACGCAACAACAAATGCAGGAGAAGAAGACCAGTGTAGAAGCAGCCCCAGCAGTAGTAGGTTTTAACATACACAAAGGGAAAAGCAAGATTCACTGATACGACACAGCATGCACCGATCGAATCACACTTAACGGAGAAGCTTTGGAAGATGTAAAAACCTTTACATATCTGGGCAGCATCATTGATGAACATGATGGATCTGATGCAGATGTGAAGGTGCGGATCTACAAAGCAAGAACAGGATATTTACAACTAAAGAAGGTCAGGATTTTCAATACAAATGTCAAGATAGTTCTAATGTATGGGGTTGAAACTTGGAGAACTACGAAAGCTATCATCTAGAAGATACAGGTGTTTATTAACAGTTGTCTACGCAAAATACTTTGGATCCGTTGGCCGGACACTATTAGCAACAAACCAGATTCTAGCAAAGGAAGAAATCAGGAAGGAGCGCTGGAAGTGGATAGGAATTGGATGGAATTAGAAAAGAAGGTGGATAGACGGCCTATGCTTCATTGGGGATGACAGGCGTAAGTAAGTAAGAAAATATTCAGTAAGGAAAATTTAATTGATTATTAAGGAATATCTACATGAAATATATTCACTGATAAATTAAATGTTATGGGAGAAAGACTGATCACAATTGATCAAGGATGATTATGTATGACAGCTTCTATCATTAATTAAAAACTCAAGTTAGATCCTTATAGAATGTGGATATTTAGATGGTAGTTGGAGGTAGTCAACAGGAAACCCTGGACCCGGGTTTCGTGCTACTTGGCACTCGTCAGCAAGGTGTACCTGTAATCTTGAGGGAATTGGTGCTCCCTGGCGGGTTCGATCTCGTGTCACCCAGTTTCACAGTCAGAGACGTTACCACTGAGCTATGCGAGCCGTGATTAACCTCCTGTAGGACTGAGATGTAACCACAATTGATTGATCACTGGGTGGTGATCAATGTCATGCTTGTCTAGTCCTTATTAGTGCAGACCGAATGCTATGCTCGGATAGCTCAGTGGTAACGTCTCTGACTGTGGAACTGGGTGACACGAGATCGAATCCGCCGGGGAGCACCAGTTCCCTCAAGAATACAGGTACACCTTGCTGACGAGTGCCAAGTACCACGAGACCCTGGTGCAGGGTTTCCTGTTGACTACCTTCAACTACCATCTAAATCTCAATACATAATGCCCGCAGTGTCGAGTCACCTAGACTGGTGGCCAGATTGCAACATGATCGATAGCATTCGATCTGCACTAATAAGGACTAGACAAGCATGACACTGATCACCACCCAGTGATCAATCAATTGTAGAATGCGGATATCGTTGTAGTTCTACGAATGAAACGAGTATTATTATTATTATTATTATTATTATATTAGCAGATTATCCTGATCTCAAGAGATTTGAAGTTCCATCACTAGTGAATCACAGATGCTTACTGATATTGAGTTCAACAATCAAAATGATCTCCGACTTCATTCTTGTTGATCATCAATCATTTCAACTATCATCATGTCCAATTACTTACTTACTTACGCCTCTTCCTCCTCGTGAAGGAGCATAGGCCGACCACTAGCATTCTCCATCCAACCCTGTCCTGGACAATCCTTCCTAGCTCCGTCCAGTTGTTATTCATCTTTTTCATATCTGCTTCTATTATCCGACGTAATGTGTTCTTTGGCCTTCCTCTTTTTCGCTTCCCTTCAGGATTCCAAGTTAGGGCTTGTCTCGTGATGCAGTTTGACGATTTGCGTAATGTATGTCCTATCCATTTCCATCGTCTTTTCCTAATTTCTTCTTCCGCTGGAAGCTGATATCATGTCCAATATTTAAAACAAAAATTATCTTTGAAATTGAAAAATATCTAGGAAAATCCTGATTCTTTTTTTTAAACATAAATTTAGAAAAAGAATAATCATGATGAAACCTAATAAATTTAACTCAACTATAGAAGATCAACTTAAACATTATTTCAATAGTTGAGATGACGAATCAACTGAAGATAGACCACCATGGAAAAACGTTGAAGCACTAGTCAGCTGTTTTGTCCTACTGTGAAACTCCTCAACAGTGCACATTCACGATCTAACTTAAGGAGTCCCACAGTAGAACGAAATGACCGTTCAATTCTTCCAGTCTAACTTTAATTGACTCATGATCTCAACTATTGAAAGTATTATAATATCCACAAAAACCCATTCTGACACTAATCAACATATGCTCACTAGCGATTGGCTTCAAGAGATATTTCTTGAAGTTCTAGTGTGACACAGTGACCAATAGAGTTCAACCGAATCTGTTGTGAGATAGTAATTCACTAAAGACAGTAGTGAATATGTCGCTCAATTTCGTTGATTAGTTGAAGTTAAACATTAACACTATTAGATCCCGGTCGGCTTATTGGTCTAGTTGGTTAAGCGCTCACATGCAAGACTGATAAATCCTGGATTGAAGTCTCACGAAGCGAGATCGTGGATGCGCACTTCTGAGGCATCCCACAATAGAATGAAATATCCATCCAAATACTTCTAGATTTTCCATGATGCTCTATACTTCAATTCATCTAAACCAATTAGTCCATTTTATAAATTTAGATAGAACAATGAAAAGACGGAGTTGATCTGATGAGAATGTAATGTATTTGCGCTATACATTTCGAACAATCTGGTCATACACATATACTTGTCAAGGCACTTTTTATATGAAAATTAATAAAGGTCAATGAAATAAAAGTTCAAGTAAAATAACAAAGGGGGGAGAAAGAATAAGAAATTGTCGTGTTATCCTAGACCATAGAATGACTTAAGGATTACCAAGGTAAATTCAAGGTTACGACAAATTGTTTTTGTACACATATAAGGGGGGGGGGGGGGTTAAATTTACGAATAGCCAAGGCTTCAATAAACTTAAGAATTCGTTCTTGACCATTTCTATACAACATTCTAAAAGCTGTATTAATGTCAATTTTGTGCCCAAGTTTCGCTATCGATGAACCTGGTTTTCTACCTCCCACATTGATTGGATCATTTGACACACATTGATTTTGAAGCCATTTAGGCACATGTTCATTGACCCTTGGATGACATTGTTCGATTACTCCTCCCTATGTATGTGTGTCCACACAAACATGTAAATTGGTAAATACAATGGGATGTGATGTAATCATTAGTGCATTGTTTGGGTCTATTAGGAATCATGGCCTTCGACTTTTCAATCACTACCAACTGAGCAGTATAATACGTATTCTCGATGGCTGCTTTCAATCTCTGCCTAAAAAAACTATACTGTTAGATTCGCCTCTATATGATAGATTGATATAAACCTTTTTCTTTGGCACTGAATAAATTAGAGGTCTTGGCATTAATTGACTTTTGCATCTATTAATAAACTTGAGTGGATAACCATTTGCAATTAAAGTGTCAGTCAGTAACTTTTCATCTTTTTCCACCATATCAATCAGAGGTACATATTCTTCGAGTCCTCTTAAAGAGGCAATTAACTAGACCTCTCTTGTATTGCAATGGACAGAAACTATGGAAATTTAATTATTGTCCCGTCCAAGTTGGTTTCCTATACACGAACCGTCTAATAGTGCCATCATCCCTTCAACTTAAAAGTATGTCTAAAAAGGCTAATTGACCATTACTTTCTGATTCATAAGTCATCACAATATCATATTGAATACCATTGAATTTATCCAATAATCGGTAAACATCAAAATCCTTATCACATATAATTAGAATATCATCCATGCATCTTCTATATAGAGTTGTCTCACTAATGAGGTCGCTTGTCATATTTTCCACATTTATCCACTCAACTATCCACAAATAATCTTTACTTATATTAAACATTATTTCACAGGTTGAAATCATGAGTCAGTTGAAGGTAGACCAACATTGAAAACCTGGAAGCACTGGACGGCCGTGGTTAAATGCTTGCGCACGAAGCCAGTAAGTCCTGGGTTCGTGCATCGCGAAGTGCGGGATCGTGGATGCGCACTGCTGAGGAGTCCCATACTAGGACGAAACGACCGTCCAGTGTTTCCAGGTTTTCAATGATGGTCTAGCTTCAACTGACTCATGATTTCAACCTGTGAAATTTCTGAAACTCTCCACAAAACACATTCTGATAATAATAATCACATGCTCACTAGTGACTGACTTCAGGAGACACTTCTGGAGTTCTAGTGAGAAGTCGTTACCAGTGGAGTTCAACCAGGTCTGTTGTGAGATAGGAACTCACTGAAGACAATGGTGTACGGTAGCGCAACTTCGTGGATTGGTTGAAGTTAGACATTAACACCGTTAGATGCCGGCTCAGTGGTCTAATGGTTAAGTGCTCGCGCGCGAAGCCAGTAGGTCCTGGGTTTGAGCACCGCGTGGTGCGGGATCGTGAATGCGCACTGCTTAGGAGTCCCATACTAGGACGAAACGACCGTCCAGTGTTTCCAGGTTTTCAATGGTGGTCTAGCTTCAACTGGCTCATGATTTCAACCTGTGAAATTTCTGAAACTCTCCACAAAACACATTCTGATTAAACATTATTGTTTATTATTATTTTTTCTCTTTTTTTTCTTTTCTTTTCTTTTTTTTTTTCAAGAGAAATTAAAAATAAAATAAGATTTATTTGAGATAAAAATGAATGAACCAATCAAAAATGGAATTTTAATTTAAACCAACCCAAATACAAAAACTGTATGGTTGTATGGAAACTGTATCTCCATATGTACAGACTCAAATAGAATCTATCTCTTAGTGAATATATATATGTATATATATACTCAAATGTTTAAGTAGAAAGATACTTTGAGTATAGATTTGAATAAGAAACTAACATTCCCCTTATTGATATTATTACCCATTATATTTCTAATAAAAAGGATTGAAGTCAATCTTCTTTTTAATGATAATGAATAGTTACTATGCCAAAATTTAATATAAACTTTTGAGTTCTATAAAGATCATGTGGATACAACCAGACACAGACACACACACACACACATATATATATATATATATATACATAGATACGCATATACAAACATACATACATGCATCACAGATACAAACATAGTTTTGGGCAAATTTAAAAGGAACTCATTATGATCTGGGTAATTGATTCATTCAGAAGACAAATATTTATCACTATGCAATATCATCATCATTGAAATGATCATTTTGACAAAAGAACATTTCCTTCATGACTTTTATTGATTGATTATGATTTTGTTTGTTTGAATCAATGAATAAACAGTATAGAAATAGAATAATCATCATAACAATGTCTATTTACTACTACTACTACTACTACTATTTACATGATTATTAAGTAGTATACATTGATTAAGTGGATTCATTATTTTACATTAATCCATTTCATCTATAGTGACAAATGATTCCTTTATTCTATCATGTGGTAAGTATTCTATTATTAATAGTACTATTATTATTATTAATATTACTACTACTACTACTACTACTACTACTACTACTACTACTACTACTACTACTACTACTACTACTACTACTACTACTACTACTACTACTACTACTACTACTACTACTACTACTACTACTACTACTACTACTACTACTACTACTACTACTACTACTACTACTACTACTACTACTACTACTACTACTACTACTACTACTACTACTACTGATTGATAATGATTATAAATGTGTGCCAGGGTATACGATTGAGAGTTATAATCGATGGTTATGGATAGTATTTAAATGTCAAGTTTTCATGATGAATTGATATGAACTATAATGGCAAAATGATATTTTAGCTTAAATAAATGGATCAATCTCGTATTAAAATCGAAAAGCTATCTCTAACCTGATTGGTTTTGTTCATAAATTATAGTTTCGTCAATATTAAGAAGATAACATTTATGATAATTGTATGATGTATTAGTATTGATGGCGAAAATTGTATGTATAATAACCACCCTCCTTGAATATATGAAACAATTACTATCAAGCATATTGTGTTACAGAATACTTTACATAGAATAACCTCATCATTCCTTTATCTAATGAATTATCAAGTGATTTATAAACTTCAATATGGAAGTAGATACTCCAGGAGTTCCAGGGAGAAACCGTTACGAGTGAAGTTCAACCAGATTTGTTATGAGATATCAACTCACTAAAGGCAAATGGTATACGGTGGCGCAACTTCGTGGATTATTTGAAGTTAGACATTAACACCGTTGGATGCCGGCTCAATGGTCTAGTTGGTTAAGCGCCTGGCGCGAGACTGATAGGTCCTGGGTTCGAATATCACGGGGTGCGGGATCGTGGATGCGCACTGCTGAGGAGTCCCACACTAGGACGAAACGGCCATCCAGTACTTCCAGATTTTACATGGTGGTTTAGCTTCAATTGACTCATGATCTCAGCTATTAAAATTACTATAATATCCACAAAAACCCCTTCTGATAATTAAATAATAACATGTTATTTCTCTTAAATGGTAATATGTTTATATATATATTCACTTGGTATTGTTTGGCTTGTGCCTTCCAATTGAGGTTTAAGACTGCAATTGATCAGTCTGTTATTGGCATATGTGTATACTGTGTGCATGCCTCGATATTACCTTAAGTCACAAGCTTTTTAACAATAACAATAGGAAGATACAAGTAAAACAACACTAAGTGAATTGAAACTTCACCACATTGCAAAAGCAGGTGACTATCAGCATTCAGTAGCTAAGTGGATAACGCAATGGCGTTTGAAGTGAACGGTAGTGTACTGGGTTTCGAGTTCCGGTATGAACGTCAACTCTAGGATACAGTTCCATCCAACTGACGAGTTCCAAATAGAACGAAACGCGCATTCTGGATTCCACTATCCATCTTTGCCTAAAAACTATTTATGGTTATGAGAATAAACGAAAAAAAAGAGAGAAAAAATGTACAACATGAATACATTCACACTTTAATTAATGAAGTTCTAGTATAGTAACCTTTTAAATATTACTAAACTTCAACAGATCTAATTATTGTTAGTATGAAATACATTGGATAGATGAAAACTTTCTATTGATTGGTTGAAAGTGACTTCAAGATTACAAGGTCATTTCAACATCAGTGTTAGATAGTCTCTATGATGAAACTATAATTTATGGATGAACTTTAAGCGATGCTAAAAGGATTTTGAAACTATCCACTTATATACTACGCATAAATGAAGGCTGTAAACAAGTATGAAGAATGAGGAATTGATGGTTAGGGTTACGGATTAGATTTACGATTTTTCATCATGAACTGACATCAGCTATAATGCCGAAACTTTATTTGACTAAATGGATAAATGAATTTCATGCCGACATTCCGAAATCTGTTATCATATGATCTGATTGGTTCGTCCATTAGTTATAGTCTCGCCGTCTATATTATTAAAGTTACACATACATATGAACAGTTAAGTCATTGAATATTGAAGAAGTTCGCTATGTTTCTTTTGTGGAAGAGTACTGGATATTTGATGATGTGTTATTTTGTTAATTTACATACTATCTTTCATTGTGGTTGATTGGATATGTAAGACACAGTGTTTTAGAACACTTAGTATCTATCTTTACTTGTATAGATTGTTATGTACTTTTGTGTTATATGCTACTGATATTTGCTAAAGATATAAGTAGTATGTATCATCAATCGAAAGTGAAATGCCTAATGGCAGAGGGTTAAAAAGATCAAAGAGAAGAGAACGAGAACAAAAAAATGACTGTTGTGGAAATGAAGAAACAATAAAGATTGAGACAATAGATTGACTAAAATGTTCTGTAATTTTGTATTTAAATACACTTAGTTGTCCCCCGCTTGTGTTCTCGTTCATTACACATTCACATCGATCTATCATCATATTACTAACAATCTTTGTTTGATAAACAATAATACTGAAAAGTAAGAATTTATAACAATCTTAAATAAACAAGGATTGATAGTGGCTAATAGTGGAATCCAGTTTAATGCGCGTCTCGTCCTATTTGAGACTCGTCAGTCCGATATACAAGCATTTCAAAGTTGATGTTCACTCTGGAACTCGAACCCAGTAGCATTCGCATCAAACACTATCGCGTTATCCACTTAGTTATTGAGTCCTGATAGCCTTTCATCTCCTCACTAATTACCTATATGTAAATACTTATTTATCAACGAATGAATCGGAAATGAATGAAACTAATCGAAACAAAAAAAACCCCTAGATTATTGTACTTACATTTTTATATTGCCCTAATTATAGGCTTCTATTCATTGAATACATTGACTATTGATATATATCAGCGAGACTATAATTTGTGAATGAACCAATCAGATATAAGATAAAAGGTCTCGGATTTTGGCGCCAAATTCACTCATTCATTCGGATAAATAGAGTTTCACTATTATGGTTGATGTACGTTCGTGATGAACCCCTCCCTAAATCTAATTTCTAATCCTTAACCATAAACTATAAATCATAATTTTAATTCCTCACATAAGTTTATAACCCTCATTTGGTTCTAGTTTTTAAGGGGGACACTCTCAAGGTCAGTTTAGCGTCACTCAAAGATCGTTCATAAATTACTGTCACACTGCTATATCTCATGGTATTCATAAACTAAAGTCAGTGATTGCGTTTCGCACTAAAAATAATTTAGTTATGTACAAATTGTGATTTCCTATAAATACATTGTGAGTTCATTGTGCTGGGTATTTTTTTTGGGGGGGGTGGGTGGGAAAGAGAGGGGGTGCGAGTCAATCTAACATTTACATTCTTCGTTATCGTTTCCCCATCCGTTTTTTTCTTCTATAAACTTTTATTAGAAAATCTAAAATTTGCTACAGATCATTTTTCATAGATCAAAAGTAGAATGATTGATGAGTTAATATTAACTTTTGTTTTACTTTACGGTTGCGAAACGTGGTCATCGAAAGTAGAAGATATTTCTAAGCTATTAGTATTTGACCACAGATGCCGTAGAAATATTGCTCGTATCTGCTAGGATCATCGAGTAAGTAATAGTGAGGTTAGACGTAGGGTATTAGGGAATGATGATAAGTCAGTTAATGAGGTTCTAGCTCTTCATCGATTGAGATGGTTGGGCCACATGTTGCATATGCCTGAATATCGATTACCACGACATACAATGCTAACCGGTGTTGGAGATGGTTAGAAGAAAGTTAGGGGCGGCCAAACCAAAATGTAGCATCAGTCATTGAAGTCACTAACTTCTAGTCTGAGCCATGTTGGTAGATGCAGACTACTTGGTTGGGGTCCATTTGACTATCGTTACCAATGGTTGGAGACAGTGGGTGACATGGCTCAGAATCCATCACAATAACATCGGTGTAAACACTCTTTGTTTTCCTTTAAACTATGAGACTAAAATCGCTTCATATCTTTCTTTGTACCAACTAATTCTTTCTTTCTGTACTATATCCCTACATAAAATTTTCCGTTTATATACGACACCATCGAGTTAACTACTTCTATGGATCCGATGCTCATCTTGCTGTGCTAATGAGGTATGGCAACTTGGACCGATGCACATATGTGCTTGGTCCTACGTTGTAGCTGACTGACTAACTGACTGACTAATATTAACTTTATTAGTATAAACGAATGTAATTAATAAACACCTTGGAAACGCACTATTAGTACATTCATCATATGTTAACAATTGTTTATCAAGATTAAAAGAGTTGAAACAAACAGCCCACTATTAAGTGAATTGAAAGTTTTAAATAATAATAATAATAATTTTTCTTGTTAGCGTCTTTTTTAACGAGTTAGTTTTCTACGGGATGGGGTCGCTAACCCCATGCCTAACCCCCCTCCTTTATCCGGGCTTGGGACCGGGAGTAGCCCCCGGAGAGTCTCCAGGCGGAATTAAATAATAATTATAAGAAGATTGTAAATATAACTGAAGATCAACATGATAACCAACCTACTGTGATGATGAAAACGTCGAGTTTATATGATGTTCTTTCTTTTTTCGTTTTTCAATTACCATATGACTCCTTGAATAATCGTTAATGGACCGAATTTCAAAACAAAACAAAAAAATTAACTTTCTTTCAGATTCTTGTATTAGGAACATGTGAAAATGGTAAATAATGGTAAATAACAACGAAACAACAACTGAAGTTGTTATCTGTAATACCCCCAACTACGAACTAAATTAGTTTCTTTTTTTATAATGAGTTCGTGTTATTGAAATAATTGTTAACTTAATGCCTAGGTGCCTACGCCTTTTCGCCTAAAATAGACATAGATATAACATGCTGAAAAATAAATGATCTCTAGCTTAAACCGTGTTCGAACTTAGATCCATACTAATGATAGTATAGCAACTCTTCTACAATAAATTTCGTTTATGGTTAAATTTTGGTTAAGGCCTCTTATTCATTTACT